CGTGCGAGAAAAGCTAGGCTTAACTTTCAGTGAGATTTCGCACACCGACGAAGTGATAAAGTCAGTTGTCTTGCAATTTCCTAGTGAGACGCTTAACCTAAGATAACTATGAACTGAAATAAAACTGGCATACGTTGGAGGCTGAAAGTTGAAAAGCGAGTGATGGGCTCAAGGAAGCTTTTTATAAGAGGGTGAGGCAAAAAAAATAAAAACTTCTCGGTAACCCAGATAACGGAGGCTCGGGTCAAAAGGGCCAGAGCCTGAGAAAGAAATGATGATGCGTCAGGGCGTTCACTTGGATCATATGTGACAAGTACAATGCATTCTACTTGGGCAAGTAAAGTAAAAAATTTCTTGTGTGAAATGAAGTGAGAGACCTCGTCGATTGTTAGATCTGTCCTCGGAAAAAAAACAAAAACAAAAAAAAGAAAAACAATTAAAGAAATTATACAAATATTTCTCAACACGCTCAAATGGAAAATAGAAAATGCATACGAAAGCAGGAGTTCTCAGAAGCTTGTACACTTATCTGAATAATCGGCACAGTTGGAGTTTCGTTTATAGATGTCAAGATAGTCACCTTTGCGCATCGCACAATCCGTAAAATACTCTCCTCCGTTTTGGAAATACTGCGTTCGACTTTTATGACACCGAAATATCATCCTTGGAGATACACATAACAACTACTTCTTACAGCATTACAAAACCAGCGCCACATGAAGGCGCACTAGTGTTTCATATACAGACTGTTAAATTCACTTGAAGTTCGTAGCAGATAATACATAGTACAATATAGTTGACCCAGAGTCAAACTGCGGTTTTCGAACGTTTTAATGTACAACATATGTGAAACTTCTCAGAGGGTCAAATGGATTGAAAAGCTTTCAATTAGTTTAGTTATGTCGTTGTTTTTATTGCTTTTAATAAACAACTTCGCCGGTGTCTTTGTAGGCTTTCGAATAACATTTAGGGGCGGCTAAATTACAGTACTAGTTTAGAAAGTGCAAAACCAGCATCGTTCGGTACAATATTGCAAAATCTTTTGAAAAAACATTCAAACGTACCGTTTTACTCGAGATTCAAAAACAGTGATAAATTTTAGACGATTGTCAAAAGGCTAACCCTGCAAATTAATGTGGAGAACACAGATTTAAGCTCAAACACTTGTAATTGTATTATTGTAGCTTCGTATACATAACATTGATTGTCGGGTTTGAAATTCATCTGTTTACGTGTGACCATAAAGAAGTTAATGGCCTCAAGTAGGACTTCAAATTAAAAAAGACGCCGCTAGATTGCAATTTAGTAAACTTTACACGAATCTTGGTGCAATTTAGAGGCGGTGAAGATTGGTTTCTTAAGCACATTTACTTTTACGACCTAAGCTATTCAGTTGATTACATGTTAGCTCTATATACTCTTCCCTTGCTGTAGTTTAAGATGAGCTCTAAATGGACCTCTTAGGAGATTTCTAGCATAAAGTCATTTGCCTATAGAAAGCATAGTACACCAAACGTAGCGTCCAAAAAGTTGTTCTCTTCACAGAATGTACCCTGAAATAGTTTGGCGGTCGGAACAGAATCTGTTTTCCTCAATACTCTGGATCACGAAATGAAAACTAGGAACAAAGTTAGCAGTTTAGAGCCATTACCGTCCTTTACCACGCAGGCAACATGTTTTCATAGACGCTACTTTAAACGCATCAGTAAGATTAAGATATTTTCAGTGTGAATGGAAGAACATGTAAAAAGGATTTTGTTGTCTCAGCCGGAATCTGTGAAGCATCAATTAAGTGAATACTGAGCAAATTTGCCTCAACGAAGATCCTACAATTCTCCCGCTTTTGGCTTCTTTGATTAAAGCAAAAGATTCGCTGTGAAATAGTTGATGCCTAGTATTTGCAAACTCAACCTGGAGTCGTAAAAGTTAGCTCATAATTTTTTATCAATTTTGCAATTCATGTGAGAAGAAAGTAGAAAAATGGTTTTTTTTGTGACTTAACGTTGGTAAAAAGGCGAAAGCATCTTTCCATGTTAAGGATGTCGTATTTTAGGCGGTTGACTTAAGTAATGCTGCTGTTTTGCCAGTGTTGGTGGTTTTATTCAAAGGTAAAAGATCAAACACTTCAGTTTTCCAATCGATGACATATCCCACTAGTAAATTATAAAGCAACTTAGCAGAGCCTTTGTGTGGATTTTGTAACTCGTTACCTCGATCACTCCTGTCTGCCCTATAACAGCTTCTAATATTCAGCCTGTAGTAGCTTTTTGCAGCACCAACACCGCGTAACATGCAGTATTGGGTAGATGAAAAAGTTGTGATTTCATCCTTTTTAATTCAACGATATTTAAAATTCACATATAACCACTAATGGCTTTCTAAAAGGTTACTCTAATACCAAAACTGAAAAAAAACTTTTCATACATTTTATCGTAATCATCTCGTACCACAGTCAAGAGTTGTCTTCAACAAAAGCGCCAAGGACTTGCATGACAAAGAAAAGTAAGCATTGCCTGCCAGTCTGGTCCAGCCAGACTTTAAGTCTATCGTTCAATAGGTAAATTTGGAAAAATTCTTAAAATTTCCCTTCAGAAAAATATTTTGATTTTATAAATGCTTTACAGCATTCTTTTTCTAAAGGGTTTTTAGTTTTAAATGTCGAGATATTTTTAAAAACTTCAATGCTTAGAGGTTAATTTGCTTAACAAATACGCGATATTTGCTAAGTGTATTGTTTGTTCAATTGGGGGGAGGAGATGAAGTTAAAAGGTTAGAGCGGCAACAGAGAACCTTATATTGAAACGTTGTTGCTTGCCTTTTTTTAACTTTTGAAATACCACAGCATTTCCGGCTGAGTTGTAAATGAAAACCGACCTAGCATTTGAGAGCAGCGCTGGTCTCTTTCCTTTCGACAAAGAGTTGAACTACTTTGTTTCGATGCAACGCAACTCGACTGCCGTCTTTCTTCGTTTTGGAGTCTAAGATAGTGCAGCTGCAAGTTCAAGCGTGTCGATATTCCCTTTATCAAATGGCCGACTGTGAAGAAGCCGGCTTTCTGGTGGCGCTATATTTATCAGATGAACTCCTCAGAATAATTTCAAACTCGCAGATTTGTGGCTTTGTTTAAAACACATCAACTTAACTTTGCTCTCAAGCGGATTGCAGCTCACTTTAGTCGCATAATCTCAAAACGATAACAAATTACCAAACACGAAAATTGCGGCAAGAGAGTCTTAATCAATAATACGCGGACTGTTTTCTACACCTGCTTGGTTTTAATTTTACCAAAGAACGACCGACAAATTACTTAATTTTAAGAAAAATTTTAATATCTGATCCATCTTTAATACGGACTGGTACATGTGTTGTGCTTAGTACGCAAGTAAACTGACACTCTGTGTTCTTAAAAGATAACCTTACACGAAGAATGTAAATATTACAAGAAAATTTAAAGAGATTTACAGTTTTATTATGCAAACTGTGTTATAAATTAAGGACATGACACATAAATCTGTAAACCTTTCAACTGTTTATTTACCGGATGGCTTTCTTGAGTAGAAAATGAATGACAGAATGGCAACACAGAGTTCCTTGATTTTAATGTTTGAGGCAGTTAGTAGAGTGCTATCGTCATTTCGTTAAAATCAATTAAAATTTCGCGTTGATGTAAAATCAGGATGGGTCATTTGGTGTTCCGGCAAAGAGCTAAATGGATGTATTCAGTGTTAAATCACGAACTGAATGGTCTTAGCTTTTCTTCTTACTGTCAAGGTTACATTTCCATCTTGTTTTCACTTCTTATTCAGCAAAGGATTTTCATTAGTCTAATATAGGCTTCATTGTTAGGCGCTTTTATTCTCATATGGAAAGGGAGGCCTTTGTTAACACCTCCGAACAAATCACAGCAAAATTACGTTGAACTCGACAAGTGGACGTTGATTAACGCATGGCGAAACTAGGTTTTACGAGTTCGCTTTTATCGCCGCCAATCCTTGCCTAAACATACAGCTGGTTGCGATTCTTATCTCAAGTAATTTATCGAATGCTAAATTCGCCAGCAGTTTTAGAACATAATTCGATCCCCTTCTAAAGAGTATTAGAGGTCTTAAGCCGGTTATGTTCGTTGAAACGTTTGCAATCAGAGAAAAGTTTGTTTATGAAAATGGTTCCGAAAAATCGTGTACGCGCTCTCAATCGACTTAACTTAGTGGAAGTTGTGCGTTTCGTTTGATAACAAGGCGTTCGGTGTTTCCGGAAAGCCCGCAAGCAAAGGATATAAAACGCTCCGAACTTTATCAATGTTTACTCGGGACAGATGTTAAGCGCAGGAAGTACTCGTTCGCGAACAAAACGCCCCGGTCGCTAAACAATTTAAAATCTCAGCAAGATTTTATTAACAAGAGATTGTTTACTCGGTATTGGTAAAACTATACCGAAATACAAAGTTTGCGTTGAAAACCTCAAGACCAAGGTCAATCAAAAGATGAGTTTCCGCAGTCCCCATTTCGCGCTCTTTTCATTAACTTACAGAGCAATCGATACGAACACTAGTCAACTGAGACCTGATAACACAGGTTGATGGTTTGCAATACATATTAAAGGCGACAAATAATAATAAAGAAATCTCAATTTTTTAATTTCTAGTTACTACGTTCTATGACCATTCAAAAGCGGTCGAAAAATCTTCCTTCGAATTTTTTGTATCAAATCCACAAAACATGCGACGAGCTCAATTTCTTTTCTCTTTTTATGATTCTGCGCCTGGCCTAGCTATATTCTATACTTCCTTCGATCTGGCACTCAAATTTCCTAAAACCGCCCATTCACACACAAGGTACAGTATTGAGCCTTTTACGTTAATTAAGGCCTTTTCAATACTTAATAATGCGTTTACAAGACGTTTCAGCCCAGGTGACATACGTCACGCTTGTCTGGCGTTCTACATTATTTATAATACAAAAAACAAATTTATAAATACCCTCGGCGCACTCGTCTCTGAGGCTTATCTTTCCGTACGCGCAACGATGACAACCGGAGCGATGCAGTCGCAAAATTATTCCTACTTCGGCAGTAACTTACCGGGAAAAGACACGGGCTCTCATGCTCAACAGTTAGATTTTCCTTACACTCCCTGCCGAATGCAGTCACCAAATTATTATAATCAATCGCCGCTACCGAGTTTTATGTCACCCATGCCTCAGGGAAGCCTCGGTCAAGTGAATGGATATACCGCGGAGCCATCCACGTACCCGAACGCACCGATTTCAGGGCAAAATGGGAGCACAATTCCGATTGATCATCAAGGTTACTACTCGCCTCAAGAAGCAGGTCAGAACTGCTCCTTCCACCAATACGCTTGGTTGAAAAGCACTTCTTCTGCGGAAAATTGGTGGCATAACTCGACTGCGGCAGGTTAGTACATCAAAACTTCCTCTTACGAGGTAGACACGCTCGTTCGTCCGCTCGCACAAGCCATACTAGTTCTCTTCGCTACAGTTCTAACGCTGCGTTGAGTTCTGACTCTGTGAAATGTTTATCACATAACAAACAACTTATGCGGTTTACAAGCATTAATTTGGCATTAGTTTGACTAATTGTTGAAAATTTGTCCTCGAACGACGCACTGTGACCGCACGGACCATATTTACAGGCTCCTAACGCCATGATATTTAACTGCTGACGATACTTGACGCGCCATAAAACTGTACTTAATAAGCGATCGCCATTAGTCAGCATTTAACTGTGATTTAACGTGAAGATTGTGTACAATTTTCGTGAAGGCTTGTATGGTAGTTTCCTAGTAAGTTTTTTTAATTCTTTACGGTTTGTTGTTTTCTTACAGGAAACGTTGCTTGGAACAGTAGAGGAGCTTCCGAGGGAAAACGCAAAAGGACAGCTTACACTCGAAAGCAGTTGCTGGAACTAGAGAAAGAATTCCATTTTAACCATTTTCTTACCAAGGAGAGGAGAGCTGAAATGGCTTCTCAATTAAACCTCACTGAAAGGCAAGTCAAAATTTGGTTTCAAAACCGGCGCATGAAATGGAAAAAATGCAACTCTCAAGCAATGAGTAAAAGCTCAAAACCTGGCACGGGTTCTCAAAATACAAGCGCGGCTACAGTTCAAGACCTTCACATTCCTAACCCAGTATCACAGCCCTTGAGTACAACATCCATAAACTCACAAACATCCTTGGACAACGCTACTGTTCCAAGCTGTTTGGCAGGCTATCGAGGCCACCAGAGTTGAGAACTTAGCCATGCGCGTTCAGCAATTCGTTTATAATTTACGACTGAAATCCTTCTCAGTCAACATTCGTCCGATCGCATTCTTATTTAACATTTTAAAGAAACATTTCTAACGTAAGGATAAAGAGAATTTTTTTCTTGGTCATAAAAGAGAGATTTTATTAAAGATGCAGTTATGATAAGTTGATTTTCAATAATGTATTTAGCAAGAAATGAATGAATATTCAGTGTATAAAGCTGACTAGTCTCTCATTAGCAAGTTAGTTCGGAAGTGAATCGTTGCTCTCTTTTGAAGGCGACGCTGGGTCACGAAACATAGACCACGTTCCACTGTACATACAAACAAAAATTATAAAACGAAAGGAGCTGTAAATATCATGTCCGCTAAACTGTATTTCCATAACGCACTCACAATTTGGAAATAACGTTTTCAAAACTTCGAAGAGACTTTTATTTATGCCAGAAATATTTCAGCGGGCAAGAACCCACGAGTTGAAGTAAACGCCGTTATTTACATCAGATAGGTTTCAAATTGCTTTAAAAGACCAATACTTGTATTTAATTTCTTAACGTTACACATTTCTGCTAAGTTTGTGTCGTTCGAAACAATCCCTCTATTTGTGTATGTTGTGTAAAGACTCAATAAAATTTTCTCTGTCAATATTTGTCGAGCAATTAGAGTTGAGACAACAAGAACCGAACTAATATTTACGTCAAGGAGATCCTGAACAAGCTCTCAACACTGGTGGTTCGAGTTTAATTTTCCGCTTTTTCCCCGAGGCAGAAAGAAAATTTACATTCCGTGGTTGACAAAACGACAATAAAATTACAGCTTAGTGATTGTTCCCCACCTCCCATCACCACGATAGCAGCTATTTCGCGAATTACCAATTCACTCAATGCGATTTATAGTTTAATTTTTTACCTCAGGGAATTTATAATTTGATATAGTTCGTTATGTTCAAAGTGTGTTCACCCGAGTTTCTGCTAATCAATGCCACTAGATTGAACTGGAATCGACATCAAACAAAAGTGCAAATTTGGACTACTTAGGTCCTTTTGAAAAGCTCGTAAAAGGGAGGCGTGAAACTGGGGCAAACGTGAAAGGTTCTAACAATAGGTGAGAAAATAACAGATAATAAAACAAAAGACTGAACAACGGGACAAACCAATGCTAAAAGCTTCGAAGTCCAAGCAGCGCGTTAACAATCGAACTCATTGAAATGTCTCGAGTATCGTGGGATTAGGACCTTGCTTGAACCTTTTGCGTCCTTCTTGCTCAGTGAAAAGCGCACTGGACAAAAAAATTGGCAGGTTGAACCCGAAGCTCCAAATAAAATGTCTTATTATTTCTTAATTTTATCTTTTTATGTTTACTTTTTGCTATGCTTTCTAGTAAATAGTCGTTCCACGATGAGATTCCCGCCTTTTTTCAGCATTTAACACCTGATCAAAGGTCCAGGAGGAGTTTTTTCTTCCTGTATTAATACTAGCTTCGTTTAAATCGCGCAGCACTCGGACGTAGCACATTATTCGATAAAAGCATAAAAGACGCGAGAAATTCGCCACCGGAACTTATCACTTAGAGCCGCGTAAAACGAGGTAATGTTTGGCGTGTGAATAACAGTGCAAGCTGCTTCTGTATAAATCCCCGTGTTTCGATTTAAAGGCTTTAAATTTAACCATTAACAGGCCGCACCTCTTCCGTGCTTTGTACATACAGTTGGCTAGCAGTAGTATTTGAGGCGAGCACTGAGGCTTTTCAAATCTCTTTAATTGCACTGTGCTTTTTATTTTAACAAAACTCACGGTGTAAAGAAGAACAAACTCATAAGGAAGCACTTGCGTTTTGTGTCGATTATATCTGCTGAAAAATCAAAAGAAGGCATACAGAAGAATTAAAATTATCCGAAAATGAGTTTGGATGAATAGAAAGAGTTCAACCAAAGTTCTCTCTTACATTACGCAAGTATTTAGCTGGGCTAAGAGAAAATCTCTCACTCAACAATTAGCCAAATATTTCACCAAGTTTCTACTGAATGAATTAGAACCCTAAATAGTTTCCAGATCGTTTTCTTCTTGTTTTTGGACCATAGATGAGGTTATAATAAAAACATATATTCCATTACTTGCACGTGTTTTAGGAGTTGATAATGTTTTATTTCAGTTTATAGCATTTAAAGATACATGTGCGGAGCAGGGCAGGTGAAGCAAACAACAAACAATCATTTTAGAATCACTTTATGAATCTGTTTTTGGAAATATAGTCATTTAGCCCAAATTTATTATTTTACGACTTCAATTGCTGGAGGCATTTAATTCGAGCAATGTCCATCAAGACAAAATAATGGAAGGCACTATAGTCGTGTTGTAGTCTCCCTTTAAACAATTTATAAAGGAACTGCGAAACTCATTTGCATTATGCTCAAATAAAATTATGGAGAAGAGAATGTCTTTCTATATTCAAGAATAGATCTTTGGTCAATAGTTTCTTCTGAAGAAACTGGAATCATTCAAACAGCAAAACTAATACCTCGATGGGGTTTATATTCCAAAGTTTACCTAGCTTATGTTGCCATGCTTCTGCTAAGTATTCGATAAACAATTATCAGTGTCGCAATATTGCTGTTGGAACCCAAAGCCCACGAGTTCAGTATAAAGTTCTGTCATTCCCGATTAGAAACAAAAAAAGAGTCGAGTTTGCAAAATTCAAAATTAGGTGGAAGAAAGTACAGATTTCTCATTACGAGACATCACTCGTGCCTCGCATTCTTCGCCGCTGACCGACCTGCCATCAATTGTTTGCATCACTCCTGCTCTATGTAAAACAACGCTTGATATTGGTATCATTGTGATTCACGGTGGCAAGTGGAATAAAAAATCCTTAAGCGCCAAGATGGCGTAGGTTAAGCACAAATACAGGGTTATCAGTGCATAACAGCAAAGAAAGCTAGCGCCAAGCAGTATTAGTGCTGTCTCGAATATAAGCTTTGGCATTTTTCCAAAATGCAATCTCAGCTCTCCACAAATGTAAAAAAAGTGTTTTATTCCCCGGTGACCTCAGCCCGATAGGTAAACCACTTTCGTTAACTGATGATATGTTTACCGTGTTAAAACATTCATTGTTTACTAATGGTTCCACAACAAAACTAGTCTTTTCAAACAATCAAAGACTTATAAAACCTTGTCTACTCTGGCGGTGCGAGACAAAATAACGCATATTCATACTAAACCGTGAGTGAACGTAAATCCCAAACTTTTGTGGCTTTTCTGCCTGCTTCTCCCATGCAATCGGTTTTTTTAATTTCATGCAAGAAGCCAACCCTGCCATGTAAATGACAAAAAGAAGCCAGTGGAGTGCTTTGTCTTAGAATTGCTAGAAGCCAATGAGAACACGATAGAAACGGCAAGGTTGTACCTGTTTCGACGCGTTAATTATTGGATAAAGATGATTCTCGACAGTACTTTTTTTTTCGGAGCATTCAAAGAGAAATCTTGGAGAGGAAAAGGATAACAAAAGCCCTGTGCATGAATAGAGCTAATTGGCTGTAAAAGAATCCAAAATAAAAACCGAGTTGACTCTTTTGGTTTCTCCCGGATATTACGGCAGGAAGTTTAAAACCATAAATTTCAAAATCATTTTAAAAATTTTGCCCCTGGCTATACACGTGTGCTGACCTTATTTGCATGAGAAACTGTCTCGGGTACTCGAGCGCACATCCGTTTGTAATCAAACTTTTACACTTAAGTTAAAAGAACTTGAAATCCGGTCCTTAACGTCAAGGAATACACATCAAATATAACAGAACGGTGATGCAAAAAAGTGATGTACATAGTTAAACACAGTGACGTTCTGATGCTATTTAAGGGTATGATGAACGTGTAGCGTGATTATCGCCTGTGGAAAGTTTTCAAATACAAGTATAAGCGGGGGCGATATTTCGACGGATTTGCCAACGAGACAGTGTTGCATGGATGAATGAGAGCTTCAAGGATGTGCGTCATAACAGCAAATTACTTCTCACGCAAACCTTTTTCACCCATTTTCATTTCTTGCTGAATTTTTTTCGATTGTTTGGGATCCTTTCAATTTTGCAAACGTTTGTCATCTTATGTCATTGACCAGCCAATGACCAGTTTTGTTTTGTATGGCAACGGATGATTCATGTTGCTCTGCAACCCGTGTGGTGGTTTCACTGTGATGATATTTTTAGCTCCTTGGTTTCAATCGCCTGAAGGCGTCCTTATCGAGGTTAGGAACAAGTGAAGAACGGTATAAGAGTAGTCACGGAATCATCTCTCACAAAATAGATGCACTGTCTTTCGGTCCAGACACACTTTAATCAGATGTTTCTTCTTTGTCCGGCAAATGATCATTTTCACTGTGGCTGTGCTCGTTAAGCAGATAGCCTGTAAGTTAGCCAACCCCACACGCGACGAAAAAAATGTCAATATCAAAATCGATATTGTGTCTGGACTTGAAGCCTCTTGAGCTAATGGACCCAGTACCGATTCTCATTACTCCAGTGTTGTAGATCAAGGTCCATTAGGCAATCGATATCAGAGAAATATGCCACATCATGGTAGAGCACAAAGCCGGCATTTTTTCTGTTTAGATTCGTGTGATCGAAGCATTTATTTTAAAGGTGAAAATACTGCTTGTCTGTCATATTCGCCAGTTGTCGCTGGTATACTTGACACTTGACATAACTGGAGTGGAAACAACCACTGTATAGTTTTATTTAAAAGCAATTTTTTTATTAAAGAAAAAAAAATTCAAGCAATCACTATCGGCAGAAAAATGAATAGATAAACCCGTCTGTTCTAGATAAGAGTTTCTATTTTCAGTAATTTTATTAGTGGTTGTTGAATACTTTCACAAGAATAGCATCCTTAAAAGCGTGACAACCTGTGTGTCTACTGTTTGCTTGCTGAAATTATCAATTTAAATCTAACTTTCTCACTTGTGTAACAGAACTATTCAGCATTTTCTAAATATATCTGAGATATAGAGTCTACCAGGCATGGCGTTCAAAGTCCGATTAGTCCAAATAACTGACGACGCGTTTTGGTAAATTCAAGTTGATTTTATTTGCTGAGATTTCAATAAAATAGTACCTTATTAACGTTAGCAAGAATGTTTTTTTTAACAGCATCAAAAGTGCTGACTTTATACAGATAAACACAACCAGAAGTTGTTCTTCAGTGCAGTAAACTTGGAAGATCCATAACAGAGGCAAATATCAACTTTTTTTATTAATAGTCACACGTTAAACCCGTCACGCCTTGAAACAGACATTTTTCATTGGGTATTAAAACAAAAGTGAAGTGTGTTTTGACTAGTTAAGAATTCTTTTTTCTTTTTCTATACAGACTACTTGTCTGATAATAAGCTTATCAGATCTAGGGCTCTTTGATACGCAATTATCAAGGTTGTTCTTGCGCAATACATAGTGACTTTTGACCGACATTTTAAAAAGTTGCTCAGGCACAAAACCGCCACTGAAATGGGATATTGCATTTGTGAATATAAAAGAGCACACTCTGACTATCACTATTCTCTATAAATAGGTGGTTAAATTCTCATTCTCAATCACCAAAAAATAATAAACAAACACAGATTTTTACAACGTTTAAATGAAAAGATTACGCTCAGTTTGAATGTTGGTTTTAGCACGGTCTGGGGAGAAAGTGTTCCAAACTTTTTTTCTCGAAAGGCCGAACTAATTAACTGGTTTATTCAGCTTAGTTGTGGTTCGGCTTCTCCTCCGAGAAAAGTCTGGTAGAGTGATTCAGTTGTGGGCTGAGGTCAAATTCAAACAATTTAATATCTGAACATC